ACATTGGCCTTCCCCTGGGTATATTGGTGGGTACATTCAAAAGCTTTCCTTAGTACCTTGTGAATGGCTTTGTAGAGGCACCTCATGCTTTAGTTAAACAGGGAGTTCCTTACTCTTTCTAAAGATAAACTATTTTCTCATTGATTTACATGAAAACTTCAGATGGACAGTCAATATGCATTTGTGCCTAACAAATGTCTTAAGTCTCCTCCCTACATTCCCCCAATCTTGTCTGCAATTGCTTAATGATATATAAACAAACATTTAAAAATACAAAATGCAAACCAATATTTATAGGACTCCTTTGGGAATCTTTTTATAAGCTGAAGATCCCGTTCAAAATGTGAGTGATTCCTCAATAGAACAGACTAGAAAGTCCATAAATAAACTCAAATACATACAGGAATTTAGTACATGCTAAAGATGGTATTAAAATCCATGAGGAGGACAGTGTTGAATAAATGGTGTTGAGACAAACTAGGTAGAAATTCAGAAACAAAGTGAAGTTGAATCTACAATTCACACCTGACCCAAAATAAATTCTAGGTGGATCAGAGTTTTAACTGGAAAAATAAAACCATGGAAAAAACTTGAAAAATAAAAACATTCCTTTGGCCTGTTATTGAGCTGACATACACACTAAGTAACATTCTTGTAAGTGATGTCACAATGAAATAGTAGAAACTTTTGACATACACACTAAGTAACATTCTTGTAAGTGACAAGTCACAATGAAATAGTAGAAACTTTGATAGGAAAAGCAGTATCCAACTCTTCTACTGAGGCTGGGAAATGATTTAGATAGAAGAGAGAAAAGCTAAGAGATGTTTTATATTTATATTTTGTCATGACAGTAAGGAGCTATAAAGTGAATTATGTGAACAATTATGTCATCCTTGGGGGACAGTAGCAGCTCTGATGGAGACTAAAGGGAGAGATGTTTGATACATAAGGTGGGGTTAGGTTGTAGAGGACTTTGATGAAGAGCTTACCCTTGGTTCCCTTTTAGTGGGACACCTCTGGGGGCTTATGAGAAGCGGATCATTCTAAAAATCATGCTAATAAATGTAGGCAATCTCTCCTTACTTACCAAATGATTGGTAAGGTTCTCAATCGCCACACTACTTACATTTTTGGCTGGATAGTTCTCTGTTATGACAGGCTGGCCCTGTGCACCATAGGATGTTTAGCAGCATCCCTAACCTCTGCCTACTAGATGCTTGTACCATCTCCCTCCTTTCAACTTGTGATAACCAAACTGTTCCCAGATGTTGCCAAATGTATTATGGGGAACAGGATTACCATGGAATGAGAACCATTGATCTCTAGAATGACAGAATAATCAGTATTTAAGAAGGACTGTCTAGCTGTGGTTGGTTGTGTAGAATGAATAGGAGGTCAGCAGGACAGAAACCTGAGAGAATGTATTAGAGGCTGATCCATACCCTAGGTGTGGTATATTGTGATAGTAAGGGCCTCCAATAAAGTACACCCTCTGTATCCATGACCTTTTAGTCAGTCCCTTCCCACTTTGATGTAGGACCTGGCATGTGACTCTCTTTGATCAGTGGAATATCAGCAGACAGGACACAGGCTGAGGCTTCAAAAGCATCTGTGGATTCGGACTTTATCAGCACACTGCTGCCACATGGCAAGACCCGTGCTACCTTGTGAAGACCTGGCCTCGTGGAGACCTTATCCGGTAGTGTTGCCATAGACATCGTTGCCTTAAACATCATTGCCAAAATAATTTCTGCTACAAACTCTTTCACTGCAGAAATAATTGTCAGTGAGGCAATTTCATCATTAGAGAGAAAGTAAGTGGTTCACAGTTTGGTTTCATTTCTCCTTGACAAAATTCTCAGAGTGCTCCCAATTTTATGTTATATAAATCTTAGCCAGATTGTATACTGTATTGGAAAATAATAACATATCAGTTTTTGCAAGCCCTTTGGTGAACACAGTCATCTCTCCCACCCATAAAAACAGAAAGTTTACCAAACAATGGCAAATATAAAAGAGAGAGCTGCTCATTTACAACAGTCTTAGCATTACTGATTCTTTAGTTGGAAACTGATATCTCTCTTAATGAGGAAAGGCATTTTAGGGAAAAAGAGAAAAAGTTTGATGCCTGACAAGGGGACAAATCAACAAGCACCTCCCTGCCCCCAAAGAAAGTATAATACTGTGAACAAAAGACTTCAATGATAATGTATTTTCATTTTTGCAATAGTCTTCTGAATTTTGTTAATTTTTCATGCTTCATTATGTCTTTTTTAATGTCCCTCTTTTATTTCTGTTCTTTTATCTTTTGTATAGCCAAATTGCTTTAAAGCCACTTAATTATGTGACTAAAATGCTTACAACAAAGATGATACTACCTAGAACCCCTGAAGACACATGGTCCAGCTAACAATGAGCACCAACTTCTAGACACATGAGCTGGGTCCTCTAAGACCATGCAGCCACAATGAAGCCGCCATGGCTACATGATCCCAGGCAAGCCAGCAGTAAAGCCACCTCCCTGAACCCTGCCCCAGTTCATGACAATGAAATGATGAACAAATGTGGTGGTGGCTGTTTTAAATCACTGCTTGTTACGCAGTGATAGATAACTGTTACATTAGGTCTGGAGTAGATTAATATCTGTGGAAATGAGCTGTGTACACAAGACATTTGGAATAATCCATGTTTATTGATGACTCTTCAATGAAGGGGCTTGGGGAAAGGGCAAAAGGGGTCAAAGAATATAATAATTTAGAAATTAGTGCAAATTCAAAGTGAGTTCAGGAATGGAGTTGCATGAGCAGTCACTAAGAAAGCACTTCTGCCTCAGCACTTAAAATATTAACTCATTTATTTTGAAAAGCATATATTTATTCATTGCTAACAGCATAATGATAGTAATATTTCAAAGATTCAGTTTAATAAGTATATTTGTAAAGCTTTAAAGGCATTACAAGCTATCCACTATTTACTTTATATGGAAAATCAATCTTTAGAATAAACAGGAAAGCACATACACTCAAAATCAATAACAATTTATATTGCGCTAAGGGTGAAATTCATTTCAATGTATTAAGCTGTCCACTTGTATAGAACTATATCCACTTAGCGATTAGATTGCTAAGACCAGGGCTTCTCATAATGGGCCAGTTAAATTTACAGATGGAGATTACCAGTGGTATTTACAACTTGACAGGTGCTTGCGAGTGTTGACTGTGTTTACTGTATTGTTCAAGAAGAAACAGTTCCTCAGATGTTTACCACTTAGCTCTATGTTTAAGAACACTAGCCTGCAGAAATGTGTCAGTCAAATCCCCTACTTTATTGTATTATATTTTTAAAAATCAAAGTAATCAGCAATAAAGAGAATCCAGAATGAGGTAAAATGAAAATACAGTCATAACTAAAAGAAATGATAGTAAAGAAAGTCTAAAAAGTGGAGGGAACATATAATGTGAACAAAGTGAAAATAACCCAAATGCATTTCCTCAGGCTGTAGGAATCACAGAAAGGAACATATGCTACAGAAGTCATATGACAGAGTGAAGGTCTCTTGTAAATGGAAAGACAAGATTTATTTGTATTTTTTTTATTAATCCTCACTCAAGGCTATATTTTTCATTGATTTTTAGAGAGAGTGGAAGGGAGGGGGAGAGACAGAGAACCCTAGATACAAGAGAGACACATCAATTGGTTGCCTCCCGCACAGGCCCCACTACAACTGAGGCACATGCCCTTGACCGGAATTGAACCCGCAGCCCTTCAGTTTGTGGGCCAGCAAAACTGACGAGGGCAAGAAGAACAAGATTTTTAAAAAGGATCAAAGTGAAGTAATTTTAAAGACCTTGTACCTATAAAACAGTCAGTATAAAGAAACAATAGCTTTGTTGAAATAAGTGTTTAAGATCAAAGGGGAACATACATTTGGATATATCATTTCCATAGATTTTTTTTTTTTTAAAGAAAAGCTACCCCAGTCTGGTAAACATTGCTGCCTACCAAGGATTTAGGTTGTTAATTTTCACTCAGGTTGAGACAAGGAGTGAGAAAAATTATTTGGATGTGGGAACCTGGAATATCTATACGATTTCTATTGCGTATTAACTAGTTGGACTTTAATGTTGGATGGACATGCATTAAGGAGAGCCGGGAAAATCAGAGAATGGGGTCTTCCGGTCAATCTCACACCTTGGTTGTAAGAAAATATGCATATACAGAAGTTTACCAATTTTCCAGAATTAGAAGAGAATAAAATACACATAACAATCATCTGCAACCCTAACCCTACCTTCCTTTCCCCTTTCTGTCCAGTTAGTTCTCTTCCCAAGGTCATGCCAGTAACATACCTGTGGGGGAGCTTAGTTCTTGGTTTTACTCCAGCAGGAGTTTACCTCCAAGGGCCTGGTAACGCTCCTGCCGCACCCCCAGTTCCACCTGGGTCCCCAATTCCAACAGCCCCAAATCCATGCTCTTGCCAGATCCGCATACGGAAAGCACCGCCAGGCTCCCGGAGGCGTGGGAACCAGCGCCGGGCGCTCCTCCTCTCGGGCTGGGCTGGGCGGGGCCGGTCCCGCCAGGAAAGTGGCAGGTGCT